GAACACCACCGCTCGATTTTTTAATTTTTTTTAAAACCTTAACAAGAACCGCTGTCCGATTTCAACATTATACAGATTTTGGTCCCTTCTTAACCATCATATAGATTCAACATTATTTCTCAATTTTACAGTAATAAGCAAAATCACAGAACTGTGATTTTGATGGCAACATCTCAGATTTATCTCAAAACCCCAATCAAAACAAAGGCACTCCAAAAGCAAAAACGTATGGTTGTCTTGGATTCTTGATACAATTAAAACACAAATGGCAATGGAGTAATGTCTTGGGGCTATGATTTAAGAGGCTACAGTCCAACAAAAGGATCGAGTTTTTGCCACGGCTACGGAAGGAATGGGTGTTGCATGTTTCTTTTCATATATTTATAAATATAAAGAACATATAATAATAATAATATGCATATATATGCACAGCATTCAGAACCCACATATATGCAATTTTTTTTTGGTTGTTGCGAAACTTTGAAAAATTAACAATTCCAAAGTTTTGAATTGCGGAAGCCAAAAACTTTAGAATTATTGAGTAGGAGAAAGAATATTATTTTAACGACGAATTTTAATCTTAGCATGGTGGCTCTGATACCATTGAATATAATTGTAATCATGTTAAGAATAAAAAATCACATAATTATAAATAAACGTCCAAATTCATACTTGCAGAAGCATAGTCGATATGAATAATAGTAATTAGATCTTCCCTTCCTTACCCCTCACAAAGCATTAGCCGTCAATGGGGCAAACTAATAAAAACAACATGGAGAGGAGAGGGGATATAACCTTTATATAGGAAATAATTGAGCCGTTTCATTACGACTAGAACTCTAATTAGGCTTTATATAAATTTTCGGTTCGCATACTTAAAATTATCACATCATATTAATTACAACCCATAAGGTGTAAAAAGTCCAATTGATCACTTAATAAATTTGATCCAATCACAAATATCATTATGAGCCATACATCTAAACCATAAAATAAACAATCGAATATGATGCCCATATTTGAAATTATTCCAAGATATCACTGTCTGCTCATCATCAATAATGAGCTCAAGTTTCATGATACTTCACTATTACATGATATTAAAATTGTTGGTTTAAAGTATATGTAGAAAACATCATTAAGTTGACATAA